CACCAGTCCAGGTTAGACCCAGACGACCCAGCGATCTGCGTCTGTGTTCAGGTGGCAGGTATCGATTTGTACCGAGGTCTGGTACCGGTACTGTGTGGAGTTATTACTGCAGGATGCTGCTGCTGCTGCTGTTCAGTGTTGATAGACTTGGGCCGACTGAGAAATAAGTCCCTGGAAGAGGTGGAGATCCTCGTGGGGACACCCGCGTGGGGACACCCGCGTGGGGACACCCGCGTGGGGACACCCGCGTGGAGACACCCACGTGGGGACACCCACGTGGGGACACCTACGTGGAGACACCCGCGTGGGGACACCCGCGTGGAGACACCCGCGTGGAGACACCCGCGTGGGGACACCCGCGTGGAGACACCCGCGTGGAGACACCCGCGTGGGGACACCCGCGTGCGTGGGGACACCCGCGTGGGGACACCCGCGTGGAGACACCCGCGTGGGGACACCCGCGTGGGGACACCCGCGTGGGGACACCCGCGTGGAGACACCCGCGTGGGGACACCCGCGTGGAGACACCCACGTGGGGACACCCACGTGGGGACACCTACGTGGAGACACCCGCGTGGGGACACCCGCGTGGAGACACCCGCGTGCGTGGGGACACCCGCGTGGGGACACCCGCGTGGAGACACCCGCGTGGGGACACCCGCGTGGAGACACCCGCGTGCGTGGGGACACCCGCGTAGGGACACCAACGTGGAGATCCTCGTGGGGACACCCGCGTGGGTACGCCTGCGTGGAGACACCCACGTGGGGACACCTACGTGGAGACACCCGCGTAGGGACACCTACGCCCAGCAGTGGTTTGATTTCAAAGTGCCACCAAATTAATGGCTTGTTTAAAAGTAGTGCACGCCACAGTGCAAACTAACTGTTTATAATAAACATTAGCTGTCACAGAGTGTGGCATTTAAGGTGCAAAAACTAGGGGTTGTTAAGGCCAAGAATGTGTTTGTGTATAATCTAAATTATAGGAGTCAGTCCACGTCTCTTGAGTTGTACCTGAGACGTGGAAAACAATGACCTTGGAGAGAAACCTCACAGTTGGAAATGTCTGTCAATGTTTAACTCGAGCAACTGCGTCGTTTTCCTTGCCGTTATTGTCCATACAATGAGCACATTTGGCATTTATACGAGACGCAAAATCAAGCGGTCGCGGCCGATGGGCTCGTGTTTGCTGGGAGTGGTGCTAGCACCCCAGGAGTTTTGCATCAGAATCTGCATTTATCCTGGAGGAGAAATCCAATGAGCTACATCGGGCTTTTTCACAGGTGTCCAGTAGGACCAGGTCAGGTAGGGGGGAAGGGGGCAGTGAAAGGGTGGCACCTTGCACTGGGGGGCCCACAATGTCTAGCCAGGCCTCTGCTGCTGACTGCCGACCTATAGAGTGGAAGACTTTCATTTATAATCAGGCTCCTCTGGGATAGACTCTGTGGGCATGTCAATTATTTCAGTATCGCTTTCCACCCCATGACACAGCCAATCAAATCGAGGTGGCACGTAGGAAAATTATGCCAGTCAAATAAGTTTAATAGCAAAGTGAATCCATGTTGAAAAGCAAGCACAACCTGGATTCTTTGTTTGTTCTTATCCGAAGTTTGACCGGAGATTACATCCAGCATCCGACTGTACGTGTTAATCGCTCGTCTTCGTATGTACCCTCCAACAAGCCACAAACTCATCCATTAACTTGTCCAAACATCACAAGGCTGGACCCTTCTGTGATAAAGATTCTTGAGAATCACTGAGGATTTTCTGAATAAACACAGAGCATTAGCATAATTACCTGCAGGTTTGATCTCATATCCATGGTACTTTCTGGAGGACGTCAAGATTTGAAAACACACATGCACACACATATACTCAATAATGCAATTGGCCACATAATCCACGCAGGATCCTCCTGAAAATGAGGCTTGAGGCTGACTCAGTGCAGTTTTCCTGGGTAGATAATTAGTTGTGGATAATGATCAGCCTGCTCTAGGGATAGGTAGAATCAAGTCTGAGTCACTTTGAGTTATTTGTTCTCAGTTAGTTTGAAAGATTGACACAATCTTTAGCATTCATATCTCTCGGTGCAGATTTCATTGAAACTAATATTCTTGGTATTTAGTTTATTTATGAACCCACCCACCCGAGTTTGATTCCCAGCCACGGCTAATATCAATGGCGAGTGTCATGGGGACCAATCACCAAAAACCCCAACACGATGGATGTTGAACTTCTTTCGCACCGTACGTAGCCGACCGCGCTAATCGGAGATGCGGGGGAAGGACAACAAACGGACGTGGCACGGGGAGTCCATCATCCATGGGTGGATTGGGAACGACTGGAATTACATTGAATTACATTGAATTATCGTTTGGCCTCTGACAAATGCGTAGGGAAATCTCGCGAGTTTGGTTTTTACTGTCGGTGGTGCGGCGCTGAGCGAAAAGATTTCACCCGGCTCCTATAATTTGGCTCGTGCGTGAAATGTAATTCATCACCGGTAATTGGTTTTATTGCGCCATGCCTGTTCAAGGAAATTAAAATAACGCGGTTCGCGTAGCGCGGTGGGTCGAGCAAGTGACCTCCACCTGAAGGTGAAGGGTTTCATATCCCAGCAGGGTTGACTGAACCCATCGCCCTTTGTTTGCGAGGTGCGTTCAATAAAACGAGCACCACTTTGTGTGGAAGGTGGCCCAGCAGTAATCATCTTATACGGACAAGACTGCCCACAGCCATAGGAATGTAGAATTTCCACCAAGGTCGTGTAGGGCTGCAGAGGGAAATGATAAATGTGTGTGTGTGTGTGTGCACGTACAAGCATTGCTCACATTGAGCATGGAGACAACGTTCTACTCGGCTTGAGTGTATTGTGGTGAAAGGTGCTGAGTTTTTTTTATTGCGCAAATGTTTACTCGGAAATGAATGCCGCGTTTTGCATGGAACTCAGCCACAGCGCGCGAGCTGAACCCCGGCAGACTGTGGTGGCACTGCGTTCAGACACCCTCACGAGTATCACAGTTGCAGTCATAGAGCAATGCCAAGGCATTAAGTAACTACAGTTTAATAATTTAGAGTTCTCTGTCAGTCCCGTACTGATGAAGGCCTTCATCCAGTGTTGGTCACGATGGTTGTTTTGACCATACTTCACCATGCCGGTCGGTGCAGGTTGGTAAAGGGGTTGGAGCCCAGGACCGCTTCAGGTATCACTCGACACCGATTGTAGCCGTGGCTGCGAATCGAACTCGGGTGACGAACAACACAGGTAGGAGGAGCACATGTGTGTGCGTCACCCTGTTCTCTGAGTCAAGCACAGGACGCACACAACCCTGACTCGACATTGTCCAAGTGCCAGCTTGTAACACAAGCACACACACTCACGTGTGCACACAGTGTACAAGCACACACCTGCAGGTAATGATAATGCTCCAGGTTCACTCGGGAAATCCTCACTGATTCTCGAGACTCTTTTTGTTGTTGTCACCAATGCGAGCGGCGTGCGATGTTTCGCCAAGTTGATGAATTGGTTTGTTGGAGGGTTGCGTCCGGAGAGAGATAAACTCCCACATGCTTCCGTGACAGCTGAATGCAAAAGACTCCACCTCATGGACCCTTCCTCTTACAGCTTAGAAGAATAATAATTAATATTAGTAAGGTGCATTTCATCCGTAGATTCCCAATGCACCCGTCATACCTCGTGCAATATCTCGCATGCTATTTTGGTATAGTCGTGCGTTCCAAGTGTGCATTAGGTGTGTTAGGATACAGTCTGGCACAATGGAAATGTACAACAGTGAACCATGCAAAGGCCCTTTGCCAATCCGCTGGTGGACGACGTCCTCCATCCACGCCGTATTGTTGATCATGGGGGTGTTTTACCATAGTTCACCACGCTGGTCCGCGCGGGTTGGTGAATGGAGGTTCCAGAGGTGGGGGTGGTTCAGACATCACTCGCCACTGATGTTAGCCGTGGCCGGGAATCGAACTCGGGTGGAAACGCCGAGCTCAGAACCCGTTGCGCCAACCATTGACCCACCGCTCCGACCACATCACATCGCCACACACAGGCGATCGCCACACACAGGTGATATTTATACACAGGTGATATTTATACACAGATGATATTTATACACAGGTGATATTTATACACAGGTGATCGCCATACACAGGTGATCGCCATACACAGGTGATCGCCACACACAGGCGATCATCACACACAGGTGATCATCACACACAGGTGATCGCCATACACAGGCGATCATCACACACAGGTGATCGCCACACACAGGTGATATTCATGCACAGGTGATCGCCACACACAGGTGATCATCACACAGGCGATCATCACACACAGGTGATCGCCACACACAGGTGATCATCACACAGGCGATCATCACACACAGGTGATCGCCACACACAGGTGATATTCATGCACAGGTGATCGCCACACACAGGTGATATTCATGCACAGGTGATCGCCACACACAGGTGATCATCACACACAGGTGATCGCCATACACAGGTGATCATCACACAGGCGATCATCACACCAAGGTGATATTCACACACAGGTGATCGCCATACACAGGCGATATTCACACACAGGTGATCGCCATACACAGGTGATCATCACACACAGGTGATATTTATACACAGGTGATATTCATGCACAGGCGATCGCCACACACAGGTGATAATCACACACAGGCGATCGCTATACACAGGCGATCATCACACACAGGCGATTATCACACACAGGCGATCGCTATACACAGGCGATCGCCATACACAGGTGATATTCATACACAGGTGATCACCACACACAGGTGATCATCACACACAGGCGATCATCACACACAGGTGATCATCACACACAGGCGATCATCATTGTACGGCACTGTGACTACAAGTCATGCCAGTGAGCGCACGCGGCTGGTGGGTCCATGCGGATGGACGGGTGTGCGAGCGAGTGTGCGAGCGAGTGTTGGTTCAGTACTCACAGAATTCTGCAACGTACACGCTGACCACGTAATTCTCTTCGCACCAGTCAAGAGTTGCGGTGGGCGGTCCCCAGTAGCCGCGCGTGCTGTCCACGGGAGCCATAGCGAAGTGCAGTCAACAAGCGCTGCGTGTGTATGGAGGATGATAACGCAAGGAGGCACATGCAGACAGAGAGAGGAGACACACACACACACGCGCGCAAGGAAAATGCAGTTGGCAATGGGCTACAGCTGCTGGCTGCTTCGTGTGGTGCGCGGTGCGCGAGTGAATGAATGAATGAGAGAGGAGAGGGAGGGGGCGAGAGTGATGTGTGCTGGTGGGAGAGAGTGTGCGTGCATGATAAGAGTGTGCACGCGCGCGAGGGAGAGAGGGGGGTGTAAGAGAGAGCGCACGCGTGCGTGCGTGTGAGACTGTGTTCAAGTGTGCTGCGTGTGTGTGGAGGGGGGGGAGCGGTGGTGCAGTGGTTAGCGCACTGCGGTACGGACCGGCAACCCGAGTTAAATTTCCGCGTACGGCCAGATGATTCGGTGACGAATAATCTGATCCATTCCTGGGCCTCCCCTAGGTCGACTCGACCTTAAACGAGTAACCTGGTGCGGTATGTAAACATCGGCAATAGGGAGACAAAGGCGGCCGGGCGTGGTGCTGGCCACCCACCCCCATCGCGTGTGCCGTGCTGGCCTTAATAGGTGCTCGCTAACAGCACTTGCCCCAACAGTCTGTCAAGCTATACGGGGCGCCTTTATTCATTGTATGCACGTGCAAGTGTATGCGTTGTACCAGGTCACCTTGGACATAAGGGAGCCAGGCGGCTTGCTCTCGACTCAGCATTTAACCCTTGCAATGCGAGACGCCCCTGCCACAGACACTGTGCTCACTGATCAGTCGGACAGGTTCGCACCCTGACACGGTCGAAGACTGTGGCGTCGTGACTACAGCTTCGTAAGCTCAGGGCGAGCTGCGATCGGTCAGGTGGGGCCCCCAACAATGCTCTAATTAAATTAAAATAAAACGTGGAACGTAAATGGAAGCATTTTCGTAGAAATAAATTTAAACCGTACGCAAGTTACTCTTTGGTTCTTTCGGTAAAGTCACGTAGAAAATAAAATAATAATAGAATACGGCGCTTCGGTTGCAACACAAGCAACCATCATTAGGTAAGAATGAATGATGAAACACAGACACGGAAACAACACAGACACACATGCAGAGAGAGACACACAAAGACACCCCGAGCGAGACACACAAAGACACACCGAGCGAGACACACAAAGACACACCGAGCGAGACACACACCAAGACACAACACAGACACGGCAACAACACAGACACACATGCAGAGAGAGGCACACAAAGTGACACCGAGCGAGGTACACGTGTGTGTGCCTCTCTCTACAAGTGTTTCTGACTGTGTTGTTTCCGTGTCTGTGTTTCATCATTCATTCTTACCTGATGATGGTTGCTTGTGTTGCAACCGAAACGTCGTATTCTATTATTTTATTTTCTACGTGACTTTACCGAAAGAACCAAACAGTAATTCCTGCAGTCACGAAAGCTTCGAATCCGTAAATAGGTCATTGTTCTGTTACACTGTTACAGAAAAACACAAATCTCATGGTGGCTATCCACGGTGCCCACAACTCGTAGCTTTGGGCCACCAGTGGGGTGGCCAAGGCACCCTGCCTACCCCCATGCTCGTTTCGCTGCTGGTCGAAGCATAGAAACGAATATTGTAATTTTTAACGGGCACACAGAGAGAGTTTGAGCGTGACTCAGAGGCGTGGGAACCCACGACAAGCGGTGAAGGCAGCCACAACCGGCGCCACCAACGATTGTCCACGTTCTGCGGCCCCATATGTATTGGGATCTTTGGCCAACTCTATCACCACCACCACAACAATCACCACCACCACAACAATCACCACCACCACAACAACAATCACCACAACAATCACCACCACCACAACAATCACCACCATCACAACAATCACCACCACAACAACAATCACCACCACCACCACCACAACAATCACCACCACCACAACAACCACCACCACAACAATCACCACCACCACAACAATCACCACCACCACAACAATCACCACCACCACAACAATCACCACCACCACCACAACAATCACCACCACCACAACAATCACCACCACAACAATCACCACCACCACAACAATCACCACCACCACAACAATCACCACCACCACAACAATCACCACCACAACAACAATCACCACCACAATAATCACCACCACCAAGCACCAGCATCGGTCTTTTAACATCTGAACACAACTGTTTTATTGCCAGAAAGGGTAAAACTAATTATTATATTTTGATAGTGGCAAGGGAGGTTCAATGATGTAGCTGCTCGCCTCGAGCTCTCAATGTCCTGACAGTGGCATTGTCCTGGTGCTGCTCACCTTTTGGCGATGTTCTCTGGTCTCACGCTGCTTGAGACGAGGCTCTAACGAAAGCTGTCTCTGGTGTGGACCAACCAGTTTCAAAGACAATGCATCATCATATACTACTAGAGCAATTTTTTATTTGCATGTTCACCACAAGTATATGTGGTTAACACAGACATGATTCCTTGCAAAGGTTTCTGTTTGATGTTTTATTGCAAGAAATGATCAAACCTATTCTTAGAACGTAGATCGCCTCGGCCATTCGCGGCATCGCGTTTTCGATAAAAATCAGATTTTATGCAATCGGAGGCGTGCAGAATAGAATGCATTAGCACTCGTCCAACAATTGTCTTTGTGTTCATTATCATGTCCCACCCGTTCCTCTCGTCCACTTTAAGCTTTCCAGCTAAGCTCAACAAGCCTTCATGCATTTGCTCTGCCAGTTCGTTTGTCTGTCTGTCTGTAGTCCGTACCATGCCGTTGGCGCGTGCGATGGCAACATTGCCCAGGAGGTCGATGCCACTGTCGAGGTCTGCTGCTCGCCACGACGAGAGGGCTTCAGGAGAGAAAGGAGAGTTCGTGTAGTTCTGCTCTTCCCCCTCCTGCAGCGGCTCACGATTCTGTCTGTTCCAGAGTTTGTGTGGGGGGCATGGTCACAGTCACGCTGCTGTGGCTTGCGTCTTTCATTTTTCGTTTGTTGTTGATGTGCGCATCGGACCGTTGATGTTCTGATGCGGTTGATGGTCACGTGAGTGCGTTCGAGGATGAATGTCAAAGCCAAAAAGGCGCAGTGTTAGGGCTCGACGGAGGAGGTGTTTAATATTTAATGCGTTCAAGTGACAAGGACATCTCCATTGGCGGTTCTGAGCCAGTGTGGAAATTACACTTTCATGTGGCAGGAACCAGACTTTACAAAAGACAAGCAGCTTTGAGTTGGTGAGGTTCAAAGGACGCCGTTTTTGTGTTTGTTTCCACTCATAGTCTCCGTATACGTGGTCATATACAGTATGTACATGTATGTACAGTATTCATAATAAAGGTGTTTGGGTTAGATCGCGTTATTTATAAATGTGTCGTAACCCTCCACCACCCGACACGGCCAATCAGCAAAAAAGTGTCACGTTGACAATAGACAAATATATATATTCTTAGTTTTTTCGGTAAAGTCACGTTGAAGAGAAACAACAAAATAACAAAATATATATGTTGTTTCTCTTCAACGTGACTTTACCGAAAAAACTAAGAATATGAATTACTGCAGTCACGAAAGCTTTAAATCAAAATAGACAAATAGTTCACTACTTTAGCCCACCGGTGTGTTGAAGAGTGAATCCATAACATTTACAGTTTGAGTACGACGTTTCGCTGGTAATTACATCCAGCATCATCGGGCAATTCGCCAGAATGGTAAAGCCCTCCCTTGCTCCCGGTCTTAAATAGAGCAGCAGGGTGACGTCATCATCTAACTCATTCAGGTGCAGTGATTTGAGGCGGGGGGGGGGGGTTAATTATATAATCGATTGGTAATCAGTCAATGGTTATGATTAGTAATGAGTTGTAGATTAGTAATTAGTTGTAATGTGTGTTATTGTGATTATATGCTACGTTAGTAATCCGTTAATTAGTATGTGTTTCCCCTATAAGGAATTGTAATATGTATTATTTAATAATACGCTTCCAAGCCGCACTAAGCCTGTAGCTGTCAGAGCGATTAAAGTTATTTCTATTTCTCTCAATTTCAATGGATTCTCTAATAAGCCTTTGCCAGTAATAATTAGTTTTACACAACACTTCAACGTTATCAAAATCAATTGAGTGTCCTTGTTGACAAGCATGTTCTGCCACTGCCGACAGTTGTGTTTGAGGTAATTTAATATTTCTTTGGTGTTCTTTTAGTCTTATGCTGATGTTACGTCCCGTCTGTCCAATATAGCATCTGCCACATAAACAATTCATCCAATGTACACCTTCTGTTGATAATTTAGGTAATTCGTCTTTAGTGCAAGATACTAGTTTTTGAATTTTGTGTACTGTACCAAATCTTACTGTAATGTTTTGCATTTGCAAAACACGGGCTAATTTGTCAGTTACTCCTGAGATATATGGAATTTTAATCTGATCGCTTTCAGCAGTGTTGCTTTGCGATCGTGATTTGGCATTCAGTGCTCTGTTAATTTGAGCATTATTGTAGCCATTCTGTCGTAATGCTTCTTTAACGTGTGTGATCTCCCTCACTAGACTTTGACCATCTGACACTGTTTTAGCCCGATGTATAAGCGTCTTGATAAGAGAGGATTTCTGAGCTGGATGATGATGCGAATCTGCATTCAGATAGGCATCAGTGTGCGTTTGCTTTCTGTAAACGCTGTGCGTTATTTTACCGTTTAGGCCATGTCCAAGCAAAATATCTAGGGACGGGAGTGTGTTATTCACCTCCATTTCCATGGTGAACTGGATGGCCGGGTTTTGTGCATTGAGGTGATTTAGAAAATTATTAAGTGTATCTTTAACATGTGGCCAGACAACCAAAGTGTCATCGACATATCTAAACCAAAAAGATGGTTTTAATGTGCTCGAGGCAAGTGCTCTTATTTCAAAGTTTTCCATGTACAGATTTGCTACAGCAGGAGATAAAGGAGAGCCCATTGCTGCTCCTTCCTTTTGTTTAAAGAAGTCCCCTCTCCATAAGAAGTAAGTGTTATTTAAGCAATGGTCAGCAAGTTTCGGAATATCATTTGGTAAACCTGTATTCTTTACTAGTGTATCAAGTAATTTAAGCGATTCGTTCACTGGAACCTTAGTGAATAGAGAAATCACATCAAAACTTACCAGAATATCATTACGATTAAGTTTCATATCTTTAATCACATTTACAAGATGTTCTGAATTTCTTATGAATGAAAATGT